TATTCCTGCTCCATGTTTCGGTCCTACAAAACCTTCATCAGGCAGTTACACTGCCACAGTCAATAAGTTCGTGGAATGGCCGCAAAGCACCGTACGGGAATTTCCTGCCAATATGTTTCAGTAGTGTTTTCGGCAGCTATATCAACGTTAGCAGATTTGCATAGCGGCCAACGGAAACTATTTTGAGGGCCGGTGTGGATCTGCGTAAATGTATGTGAATACCTTGTAATATGATGCAATAAAACCACATTCCACGAACTTAATGACTCTACCACGTATATAGGAATATTTTAGTTAGTTTTTTTTTTTTTAGAGAGGGTGGGTTTCCCCATGCACCGCGACCAGTTTGATATATTGTGCTTCCCTCTATGACATTCTACCAGTCTTTATACCCTACCGATAAATGGTGCGTACCATCAGTCCCGCCGAGCAAGCGAGTTCGGCCACTTGCTTAGCGGTGTCTATAATGCTTCCCCCATCTATCAGAGGCCTTAGAGACTATTGTTGGGCGGGAAACATCCTGGAATTTGGCTCAGTGATCCCCTTTGGGGATATGAGGTTCTTTTACGTGCCGTAAAGTTACGACACGGGACACACAGCTTAAAGTCCCTCCCGGAAGACTTGTTCCCTGAGTTTTTCTGCCCTTAAAAATTCGACGACCTCCGCCGGGTATTTGAACCCGCGTACCACGAGTCATGAGGTGGGAACGTTACCTCTAGACTACGGAGGCCACTTTGTTTAGTCAGTTAGTTAGTTTAATAAGTATGTATAACTGCCTGTCTTGTACGTCCGAAACATGTAGCAGGAATAAAAAGTCGAATTGTAAAACACCAAAAGCGAGTATATTTGTTGTGCTGAGGGTTAACCTCATTCCTATATATATCTGTAACAGAGAACAGGATGCAACCAGTGAAGATTGTAGCGTAGTGCCTCAACCAACTATGCTACCGCGTGCTCTTTGTAATGATCGGTCTATTATTAATTAAAGTTCAGTGGAAACACAGCTGAATGAATCTTTTAGTATTGTCATGGAAAGCAATAAACTGTGTTCTTCACAGAACATGAATTTTTAACATACTTTCAAACCGTTTTCAAAATGAGTTTTATTTTACAGTAGTAGGTTCATACAAATATTCTCGCTGAATCTGCTACACCGAGAATTCTAAAATCTAGAGACACGGCATGTTTAAAAATTCTACACACTCTCAATATTAAAATTGCCATACAGTCTTGAGGATTTCACGGCGGCGAATGTTTCTATTGTATTCATAACATTCTGATTTCTGACACCGTGTAGTTTTGTAGATGAGTTCCAGTTTTTCGGAGAAACATGATAGCTCCATCTTCAATATCGAAGTGAGCAGGACCAGGATGCGATTAGGTCATACAGTCAGGTTTCTGTCCACGTGTTTCCTGAGGATGGAGGCACCATGTTCCTTCGAAAACTTTGTATCACGCTAGAAGACTACATGAAATAACAACCCAGATTACCACAGGTTTATCGTCATTAGTAAAATTTATTTAAAACAGTTTGGTAACGAAAGGTATATCAAACGTAACTTTTTCTTCAGTAGTCTTTTTTTGGGGGAGGGGGTTATGCCTTTCTAGTTTTGCTAGTAAAATATTATATAATTTATGAATCCCAGATGATAATACATTGAAATTAAATATCAATGTAAATTATGAAATCACCAACCCGGAAGAAAGCAATTTTCAACGGATTTTTAATTAGTAGCGAAATTAATTACATTGTACTATAATAATCAGGGCCCGGATTTTGATGACCTGAAAATATTTAAAAAATAACCTATAAAATGACCGAAAAACTCCAGAAAAATGACCTAAAATATGACCCAAAAATGTAATATGCAGGCCCCGCATTTTGAGGACCTGAAAATATTTAAAAAAATGACCTATAAAATGACAGAAGAAATCCAGAAAAATGACCTGAAGGAGAAAAGAAAGAACACTTCGGTTCCATGTTATTCACGTTTCAGAAAACATAAGAAGAAAAATTCCCTAAAATTGCCAAAAAATGACAAGAAATACCCTTAAAAGACCAAAAATTTACCAAAAAATACCCCCATAATGAAAAAAATGACCTTAAACCTAAAAATGTCAAAATGACAAAAAATACCTATAAAACTTACATTTCTGTAACCAGCAGCTCATATCCGAGATTTATATATTTAAGAGCATCGCATAGGATACAAGGAAAAAAAAGATGACATGTCATCAAAATCCGGACCCTGATAATAACTGTTGCCTTGAGTGCTATGCCACTTCTCTTTCAGAATAATGTTTTCCTTTCTTTAGAAGGTGTTTTGTACTTATTCAGAATTCCGTGATTCTGGTTTCTACACGCGCGGATTCCGCAATGGAGCAAGCTTGCTGTTTGCGGAGCAGAGCTATGCTTTCCAAGGAACAGTGTTCACTGCCTCAGATGTTTTAATCCTGTTTGTTCGGCAAATATTTATTGAGTTACATGGCCGCGCCATAGCTCAAGCGGTTAGTCGCTGGCTTCCCACCGCGGCGACCCGGGTTCGATCCCGGGTCTGGTCAAGTGGGATTCGTGGTGGAGAAAGTGGCGCTGGGGCAGATTTTCTCAGAGTACATCGGTTTCCCCTGCCACTCTTCATTCCACCAATTGCTCCACAATCACCCTCACCTGTCATCTGGGGCTGGTACAATAGGCCAGAAGTGGCCGCAGTACAAGGGACTTAGTCCCACCCCACTAGCAATAAAACAAATA